GTCATCGCAGGCCTTACCCTGTTGGAGTCATTCTGCCCATTGGGGAAAACCAGGCGTGGTCGTGACATCAGGGGACATGTCCCGAGGAGCTCCAGGGCCTGGAGGCGGGCGGTGTGGTTGCTGTGTCTGAGGCGATGCTTGGGCGGCAGCTCACTCTGCTGCCTCCTCCCCTTCCTCCTCCACGTGCAGAGTGTGGGTCAGGGGAAGAGGTGAGGCCAGCTGAACCCGCGTGGGCTCCCTCCGGTGATGGCAAGGTGAGGCAGAAGCCAGAAAGCTTCGCTGACACACCATGGGTCTGGTAAGAGACCCCGAGACTCCCCTGGGCTCTGGGGAATTGAAGGGCGAGCTGGGTCCCAGCACATGGACCTGAACCCTGGAAAACCCTGTCTACAGCTGCAGCAGGCACACCTGGCCCGGGTGCTGGGGTGGAGCTCAGTGCGGGCTGTCATCGGGCAAGGGCCTGGGCCTCCGTTTCCTACCACTTCCTTGCACAGAGACTCGGTAGAAGGACTGCAGCTCCAGCGCCCAGGAGGACAGCCGCCCACAGGAGGGCTGAGTACAGGGGAAGGCACACGAAGGTAGAAGCAGCGGGTGCTTTGTGGACGCAGGATGGGGTGTCGGTTCAGGAGAGGCTGGCTGTGTGGCTGTGGGACGAAGGGAGGGGGGCTGGCTGGGCAGACAGCGGGGCCCATCGGACTGGGGGCCACGTGATCCGTGCTGTGGACTGTGCGCTGGTCCCTTGCCAGCTGCTCTGTATCCAACCCCTTAGAGTAGTTCCAGAACAAGGCTGCCCGTGGGCAGGTCGGACAGGAGCACCCTCAGCCCCCCTGTCACGTGACCATATTTCATTTTTAGTTTGTTGCTTGTAAACTCATAGGGCAGAGGTGTGGCGACCAAACCCTGCAAGGACACAGACGTGGCCTGACTTTGCGTGATCATGTCATCTGCAAGCGAAGCAGTTCATGGACAGACGGTCTGAGAAAGTGGGATTCACATTTCGTGCCCTTGAAGGAAAGTCTAGGGCGACACTGACAAACAAGTACACACGTGTGCAGGTGTGTTTAACCCTTTGCAAACCTTGTTTGGATTTGGAAACAGAGAGAACAAAATTTTTTATAAATAACGTTTAACCCAAGTAGTATCTGCTTTTTTGAAAAGACAGAGAGAGGATACAGTTTAGTGAGAAAGAACAAAATTCTAAGACTCTCCGTCGCCTGTCTCCCAGAACAAGAGTTGCCACTTTTCTTCATATTCCTCCAAAATTCCTTCCATGGATGTATTTATATTTCTTTGCAAAATGTCATACTACTGCCATAGTGTTTTCAAACTTTTTAATCGAATCTACTTTGAACACTTTTTTTTTACATCAGTAAATATATTCAGCAGAGCAAGTTTCGGTTTCTAAATATCACAGGAACATTCCTAAATGCACCACAATGTAAACAGCTCTCTTTGTTGGACATTTAGGGTGTTTCCAGTGTCGCACTATTATAAACACCACCACAAAGGACATCCTTGAAAATAAATCATTTCCCACATCCTCTATTATTTCCTTAGGATACATTTCTAGAAGTGAAATTTTTAGTTTAGAGACTATGCCCCTGTTTTTCTAAGGAGACATTTGAGGTGTGTGGACGAAGGGTTCCCTGGAAAGTGGTCTTGACTCAAGACGCGCCCGCAGCACAGGGGATGGCTGTTCCCCCAAATCCAAAGTGAGCGTTTTAGAGAGCAGTGCAGGCCGAGGCCTGGCCTCCGGCATCCTGCACGGGGGTCGCTTGAAGGGAAATTGACCGAGCCGGGACAGCCTGGCTTGGGGAGGGGACCCAGTAATGGGCTCACTGAGGGACGGGAGAGAGATTGGACTTTTTGTCGGCTGTCTTCCTAAGAAGTCCCCTCACCATTTTAGCACGAACTCAGTGACTTTCGGGGAGTCTGTGTACCCTTCGAATATCCGGTTCTGCCACTAAGAGAAGAAAGTGCATCCCCAGGCCAAACTGCTTTCTGGGCAGAGGTCACGCTGAAGCGCAGATGGTCCTTTGGCTAAGGTGTCGTGGTGGCGTTGAGGGGATGCCTCCGGGAGGCCGGGCAGGGGGCTCCGATGCGAGGGTGCAGCTGTCCTCTGCAGAGAACCAGGCGCGAGGAGGGCTTGAATGGAGAGTGTCCGCGGGCGCGGTCCGATGCGTTTCTCTAGGAGGAGCCACGCCATGAGAACGAGAGAAGAAAGACTGTAAAACCTCTGAGCCCTGCACCCCGTGTTCAGTCCCGCAGACTCAGCGTATTGTCAGGTGTTTGATGGCAGGGGCGTGGGCACGCCTTCCTGTCACCCTGCTGGCGGAGTTTGGTAGACATTCGACTCCGCAGGAGACAGGCTCCACCTTAGCTTTCAGAGTCCGGGCACTGATTGCCGATGCAGAGTGTGAGGTCAGAGCATCGGGTGGAACCCAGTGTCCCCGGGGACGTGGACGGCACACGCGCCCTGTGGCCCAGCCATTGCACGTCTGGGCACGCGCCCTAGGCCAGAACTTCCCAAGCCTCGTGCGCATGTGGATCATCTGAGGAGTTTGTGCAGACGCAGACTCTGATCGGCGGGTCTGTGGTGACGCCCGAGACTGTGCATTTCTAGCTGGTGCCCAGGTGTTGGTGATGCGGCCGGTCCCAGGCCCCAGGACTGCATTCTGAGAAGGATGGGTGGTCTCAACCTGGGCTGCATGTTAGAATATCCTCAGGAGGGGCTTTCCACAACCCTCATGTCTGGGCTGCTCCAGCCATTAAATCAGGACCCTCCGTAGGTGAGACCAGGCTACAGAAGTTTCCCAGCTGCCCGCGGCTCCACCGGGGACCCAAATCGATGCCTTCACATGGACACAGGAACGTAGATGCGGGGATGATGATCCTTGGTCAGTAAATTGGACGTATTTATATGGAAGGGGTTCCCAAGAGCTGCTTAAATGTCTGAATGCGCCTACACGCGTGAACTTGGACACACCTTGAAAATACAGTGCGAATACTCAAAGCAAATCAGACACTGCTGCTAACTCAACGCAGAAGAGTCACGCAGATGATACGGCAGCAGTGCAGATCTCTCTGCCGGCGCGACTCCGTCTCCGGTGGTTTCTTCTGGACCACGCAGGACGGGGATGGGGTGCGGGTAGACCACACTGGAGTTGAAGTAGTTTCTATGAAAAAAGATGTGCGACAAGAACCGTCTGAGTTCACTCAGGTGGGCTCTAAAACAGAAAGCCAGAAGCAAACAAATAGACTCATAGACCAAGACAGCAGCACGGTGGTTACCAGAGGGGGAGGGTTGGGGAGAGGATGGAGAGGGTAAAGGGGTCACATGAATGGTGGCAGGAGACCAGACTTGGGGCGGCAAGCACACAGTGGAATATGCAGGTGATGTATTGTAGGTTGTACACCTGAAACGCATATAATGTTATTAACCGAGGCCGCCCCAACACAGTTCATTAAAAGACGGGAAGAGCAGGGCATGCGTGGGAGCGGGGAGGGCGGGCAGAGGAGAACTCTGCTGCTGTGACGGGATAGCTCACGGCTGCCCTTTGCTCCTGTGACCGAACATCTGCTTCAGCAGCACAGAGCCTGCCCCGGTGGGGTGAGAGCAGACGAGGTTCTCAGGCGATTCGCTAACAGGTGCACAAGGATGACGGGTTCCCACACCGGACTTTTCGCTCCCTGTGTCCGGAGCGTCCTGGCGTGCCTGACCCCTACGGGCGTCCGAGGTGAAGGATCTCGTTTAATACGTAGGACAGACAGAAGAGAGAAGCAGCTTCCAGAGACCTCAGCAAGTTGATAGACTTCGGGGCTCCAGTCCTGGGCTCCTGCTCCCCGCCCAGGGGTCTCAGAGCGGGGGCGTGGGGAGGAGCCCAGCTGCCAGTGAGGCTCGGGAATGCCAGGCCCCCAGGCGTTTGCGTGGGGTGTCCCGGTTCAGGTTTCTGTTGGGGTCACCTGCTGCTCCTCCCCAGGGCCCTGCCCTCCCGGTCCCCCCAAGGTCCCCTCCCTCACAGGGCAGCGGAGCGTGATGACACCGCCTGCATCCTGCGGGTGCTTGGGCGCCACAGCTGTGGAATGGTCACGGGCCAGCCGTTCCTGCAGGTGTGAGCTGGTTGCAAAAGCAAGTTCTCTGCAGGAAAAACACGGACCCGACGGCTCTGTCTTAGGAATACCAGCCCCAGGCGGTGCTCGGGTTTTGGCTTTGCCTACACTTCCTTCCAATTCTGTGGTCAGTCTCTTCCAGTATTTCATATAAATGCTGTTCTGGATTTTTCGTAATCTGTAATTAGCATCTTTCTGATACGTGTTGCTAACTCATAATTTCACATAAAGATGACCAGTCCTGCTCTAAGGAAGTTTTCCATTTATTCGTATTCATTTTAAGTGAAAAATTTAAATGAAAATAAATGGGGTGGAGGGTGGGGAAGGGTACCTGCCTCCATCCCTGCAGGAAACTGTAGCCTATCTGAGCAACAGAGGGGCAGGTGGGCTGAGGAAGCCCAGCCCTCCAGAACAGTTCACTTTAAGGACACTGATCTGTGTGTGAGTCAGTGGGCGTTTGTCCTTCCCCCAGCTGTTCTCTGGGACCTGTCCTGGAGCCTGGCCCGAGGCCCTCACCTGTCCCGGAGCCTGGCCCGAGGCCCCCACCTGTCCCGGAGCCTGGCCCCCGGCCCCCACCTGTCCCGGAGCCTGGCCCCCGGCCCTCACCGGTCCCGGGGCCTGGCCCCAGGCCCTCACCGGTCCCGGAGCCTGGCCCCCGGCCCTCACCGGTCCCGGAGCCTGGCCCCAGGCCCTCCCCTGTCCCGGAGCCTGGCCCCCGGCCCTCCCCTGTCCCGGAGCCTGGCCCCCGGCCCTCACCCGTCCCGGAGCCTGGCCCCAGGCCATGCTTCAGGAGCAGCAGCTGGGCTGTGGCTGGTGGGAAGCCCTCCTAGGCCCCGCTCTGCCCCAGAAGTTCATCTCGGGAGCTGACCTGCGTTTCCATCCCCTTTCAGACCCCACGCTGTGGAGCACAGACCACGTCCGGCAGTGGCTGGAGTGGGCAGTGAAGGAGTACGGCCTTCCGGATGTGGACATCGTACTGTTTCAGAACATCGACGGCAAGGAGCTGTGCAAGATGACCAAGGACGACTTCCAGAGGCTCACCCCGAGCTACAACGCCGACATCCTTCTCTCCCACCTCCACTACCTCAGAGAGAGTAAGGTGGTCCCGCTCAGGGCAGAGGTCCGGGTGGCGTGGCTCTCGTTCACCCGCGCTGCAGAGGATCCATCTGGGCTGCCCACAGCACCTTTCTGCCCTGGCCCAGCCCCTCCTGGGATCAGAGAGAGCGGCCGCTGAGGAGGCGGTGGCTTCGGTGAATGCCACCTGGCTCCTCCAGGGCCCCCTTGACCCGAGAGGATCAAAGGGAAAGGAAGTTTTATCTGGTCACACATGATTTCGACTCCGCAGTGCCCCAAATGAACTCGAGACATATGGAAAGGCTCCACTGGGTGGGGAGTATGGGTTTATCTTTCCTAAAGCTAAACCAAGCCCGTTCCCATCCCACTTGAACACTCGAGGGACGTCCACCCAGCCTCGGGAGATGTGGCTGGCCCGTTCAGGCTGGGCTGGCGCAGTGGTGATTAGGGGCATGGCTCCAGTCTGCGCTTGCTTTCCTTTCTCAGACGTCGAGCATGGTCGGAGGGGGCAGACGCGGTGCGACCGTGGGGCGGTGGAAACGCCGATGTAAATGCTTTGCCTGGCATCCCCACCACTCCCTCCCCGGATCACGTGTGGGCCCCCATCGAGGTTTTAACACGCTAACAAGTAGCATGGCATGGAGAGATTTCCAAGCAGCCCGTGATGTTAGGGTGGGACGGGGGGGGATGGTTTTTCTTTCCTCTTTTCTTTTCTTTTCTTTTCTTTTTTTTTTAAAGGAAGGTAATTCTCTCTCTTTTTTTTTTTTCATTTTGATGTTGCTGTTTTGTTTTGTAGCTCCTCTTCCACATTTGACTTCAGATGATGTTGATAAAGCCTTACAAAACTCTCCACGGTTAATGCATGCTAGAAACACAGGTAATGCTGGCCCGCCCCTCCCCCCAGGACAGGCAGCGGCTCGCCCGCAGGTTGCATGCGTTAGAGGTGGAGCGTGGGGCGTCAGTGCGTCAGGAAGGCAGGAGGCAGAGGTGCACGGTCCAGGGGTTTTGACAGGTAGGAGGCTCTGTGCGGGAGGTGCACAGCCTACAGGCAGGAGGTGCCCTTTGGGTTCTGCGCACTGCCCCTTCCCTTGACAATCAGAGGACTGCTGTTAACCAGGAGAGGTGCAGAATTCGTGTTTAGCTGCAGCCTTAGCTCCCATCTGCTGGGTGATACTCTGCTGCTGTTAGCCCCCAGATGCGCGCTATGCTGACCGGACTAACTAAAAGCATGTCCGATGCAAAGGGGCCCTAGCATTCTTTTTTTTTTTCCCCTTTTCTTTTATTCTTTAAGGAATGTTGGCTAGGACTAGCGGGCGTTCTATTTTTCGGGCAAATGCGAGGCCCCGTGTCTTGACGTTGGTCCTCTGGCACAGACTGGGCGCGTTTGCGGAAGGCAGCCCGAGGGGCTGCTTCCTTCTCTCTCGAGCTGGTGAAAGGGAAAAGGTGGAATCATTCTGGAGGATGTGAAATGGGTTACTAACCGAATACCTGCTCTTCCGCCTCTAACCATGGAGCCTACATTTTGTTTGTTTGTTTATTTTTTGCCTGAGCCCGGTAGAGTGTAACATAGAGCTTCATCCAGGCTAACCTCCCTCCCCCCTCCCCGTTGAGGCTCAGGGTAGAGACGGGGCTTCTTGCGGGTGAATGTGCCCAGGTTGGTGTTCCTTCCCTCCCTCCTGATGGAGACAGCCCGCAGGAGCACGGCCACAGGCTCCTCCCCCCACCGCTCCGCCTGCAGGGACCCCCTGCCACCACCAGGCTGGGGTGAAGCCAGGCGGGGCTTATGTTACCCTCGAAAGCAAGCGAGCCAACTCATGGTCAGCCCTCACGTAGAAACAGCCATGTTCCAAATGCTTGCCATTTTATTTTAAAGTGTATCACGTGAGTCTAGGTTTGACTGTTACAATGCCATTGCTACTTGATCTTGGTCCTCAGCATCCAGAACTCTGTGCTTTTAATCCAAAGTAAAGTAAAAAATAAAAATAAAAAGGCTTTGAGTGGGTAGGATACTTTTCCAATGTGGGTTACGCTCATTAGCCTAGTAATGACCTTGTGGCCAGAAATAACAAATAACTTCGACAAAGCAACTTCCCCCTCTTAGGAAACACCTTTGAGCTACACATACTTTGTGACAATGTCACGGTCATTTAAAAAAAAATGTGAGCACTGAGTGAAAGTTTCGAGAACGCTGTGATTTCATGGTTTTTGCTATTGGACACCCACCTCCCAGGGACTGAGCTGAGGAAGGGAAACCCATCCGCTGACACACGGGTGCGGGTGGAGAGACAGAAAGGGGAGACACTCATTTGAATGGGGGCGCAGATTGATTTGGAATAAGAGCCATCTATATGTTCTTTGGCAAAATACTTAACAATTCTTTAAATTCTTTGGTACGACTTTCCAAGATGTAAGCTCTGTCAGATGCTTTACAGGGTTTTTTTTTTTTCTTTACAATTTCAAAATTAAAACATGCACCGTAGAATTTTTTTTTAAATAAACCGAGACTACTGGGGACACCAGGGTGGGCAGCAAGAAGCCGTAAGATCGAAGCACAGGGCACCTTCTAACCGGTGGGGCTCAGAGAGTTCCGTGTTCACTTCCATCTTCAGAACCTGCGTCCGACGGGACTGCCGTCTCCTGCCAGAAGGGGGTGCGGCCAGCATGTCCCCTCCCTTCTTGTCCCGGGCAAAGTAGGCTGGGCACTGTTGCTGAGACGGACCGACGACCGCAGCCAAAGACCTTCACTTGTTTTGTCTTTTCCTTTTGTCTGCAGGGGGTGCAGCTTTTATTTTCCCCAATACTTCAGTATATCCTGAAGCTACGCAAAGAATTACAACTAGGCCAGGTACGCAAACACCCCTGTGCGCTCTGTTCGCTGAGACACCCCAGGATGGCCCGTGAGGTCCGTGACCTAAGTCGCGTGGTCCTGAGAGCCGGTCCTGGACCTGAGGGATCCCGCACAGTCCCAGTCTGCCTCTGTGGGTTTGGAACCTCATTTCATTCCAAGATCACACTCAGGGTCCCTTTTGATCCCTGTGCAGTTAAAAGCACATCAGCCCCTTAACTAGCTGCTTGGAAGTCAGATGGGCAAAGGAGGCAGCCTGGGTGCCTGGCTCTCAGGAATCCGGCCACTTTTGAGGTCACTGAAGGGCCTAAGTGGAAATAGTGCCCCTCAGGGAACAGCACGAAGCAGGAGGGGTCCCATACCACTGGTGACATGTGAGCAGTACTGACTTTTCAGCGTTGGGGTGCCTCTCACCGTATCGCTGTCGGGGCAGGAGGGCAAGGAGCTCACCCCCCATCAAAGGAAGAAGGGGGCTTTCCAGAGGGGCCACAGTATGCCCAAGGGGGAGTCGATGTTTGCCAGGTGGAGGAGGAGGGGAGGGCATTTCAGACAAGGGTCAGTGGGCCTTGGACTTAAAGCCCCATGAGCTAGAAATCACTGTGCCAGCCTCACAGCTGAGCAAACCGCGGCTCAGGGCCCCAGCGGCTTTTCCATGTCTTCCGAGACCCGGGCTGTTGCTTCTTCCCTCCATCACACGTCCGGCTCCGCAGGTCTTAGTTGGAGCTGGTGGAAGTCACTCAGTTTGGAGCTACTGTTTCTTCCCGGTGAGAGACTGGGGGCCAGCGAGCTGGGGAGCAGGAGTTAGGAAGCTTCTCGGCATGGGTCTCACCTGACAATGCCCTGTCCCTGCGCCGCTGACTTCTCCGTAGCCCCCGAGAAGACGTTGGCTCCCCTGCTCCTGAGAAGCATGATGGGAAGGGTTGGCCACGGTGCTTTGTCAGCTCCGACATGTGAGAGACTGCCCAGGCCATTCAGTCTGGGACAAGCCCCAGGGTCCAGAGTGAGCTGGACCAGCCCCACGGAAACCCAGCTGGGCGCTGAGGGTGGGACACGCAGAGGCATGGTTTCCTCTGGCTCTGGAGATCTGAGTTTACCCTGGAAATGCTCCCTTGGGAAAGCAAAGGGAGAGCGGGAACGTCACAGTGACTTCTGTGAGCATTTACAGAACATCTCTACCCTCGCTTCAAAAAACAAAAGGGAAGCCCTCTGTGGAACAAACATTGGGCCGGGGTTGGGAGCCATGCTGATGCCTCTGACTACAAGGGCCAGGGATTGTGAGTGGGTGTGGAGTCCTGTCAAAAGACTGCAGCATTGGCCACCGGAGTAGTCCCCGCCCAGTGGTCAGAGCGGCCAGCTGGCTGCCTGCGGCTGCATAGAGGGAACAGTGTTCCTGGAACTACTGTTTTCCATATTTGAGGATATGGTGGACTTGCACGATGTGGCCCGTCCAGCTGTGGCCGGAGGCTGGTGGCTAGGTCGTCATCTCTGTGCTCCAGCCGAGGGGGAGACGGGGCAGCCGATTCGCAAGCACCTCCGTAGCTCTGATGATGTTCTTCCTTGCGTCCATCATTTGAGTGTGACCCAGAAGAGAGCACACTGCCATGTCCCCATTACCAGTCAAGTATGTTTCTGAGACTCAGTTTGTGTCAAATATACCCGTTTTGCTGACTGCTCCTGTGATTATGAAAGGAGCTACGAATAGTGGTGTCTGAGCGAAAAAGAATTTAAACCAGACTGAACACGCAGAGAACGAAATGCTTGCTGTAAGCCAGATTCAGGGGTTTGACCTTGGGGAATCATTTGTGCGTTGGGTTGAGCGGTGATCAGCCTTGAAGGAAGGGTCTTGTGAGTGTGTCAGCCTGTGGTAGTGTGCGTGAGGAACTCCCTGAGGCTCAGGGGGTGCTGCCAAGCTGATCCCCAAGGCTGCAGGTGTCTGGGGGGAGGGGTCACTGGGAGTCCGACTGTGTCCTTGTGGTCAGTGAGCATCTTTCTGCTTTCAGAAGAGCTGATGGCTGACTCTTCTTTGGGACAGGTCCTTGAGCCCCTGGGGACAGAGACCAAGTGTCTGCTGCCCCGCACTCCCGGTTGGCTGTGCCATGGTCTTCATGCCACTTCTCTCCCACATCCGGACACAGAGCACCCCTTCCGGCGACCCGAGTCTGGCTGCCGATCCTCCTTCCCATCTCCCTCCTTTCCTTCCTGCTTTGAGCGGCCCATTCCTGGGCTGCTGCCCCCAATCCACCTTCTTGGGGCTGAACTTCCCAAGTGGATCACTTATCCCGGAGTCCCCTCACTGCAGACCCTGCCAGGTCGCTGTGGCATTTCAGTTTCGCCCCCTGCTTGGCCGGGACTGTTTAGAGACTCTACCGATAAGCACATATGGACAGTGTACCCCTCCGTTCATGCTCATCCCTCCTCTTCCCATGCCCGTTCCTCTTAACTTTCCCCAAATGATTCAAAATGCGCCCCCCTCCCGGTCCCTCGGCTGTGAATCACACTCAGAACGCCCTGTGCGCGCGCATCGAGCGTTAGCACGAAGCCAGAACACTCACACGCTCTCTGACCGTTATTCACGGTGTTCCGTGTGCTTCTCACGCTGTCAGCCACTGCTCCCAGGGACCCTCTCCCCATCTCCCTCCTCTGCTGCACACGGACCTTTGGAGCCACGGCCCCCGAGGGCTCTAGTGGCCCGACAGAGAGAGAGGTCTGACGCGCGGCCCCTGCAAGCTGATTTCCAGCCTTGAGATGTGCCGCCTGGCTGGCGTCGTAGGAGCAGTTTACATGAGAGCTCTCGTGTGCCAGGGAGGGTGTTCCATAGCCCCTCCTCCGCCCCGCCATCACCATGGCACCTCGTGCGTCGTAATACCCATCGGATGTTCTCAAAAGAGCAGAGACTGGAGCCCGCAAGGGCAGCTTTGACTTTGCTTTTCAGCTGCCGCTGTTCAGGGGTTTCTTGGAAGGATAGATCCTCCCTCCAGCGGAGCTTGCGCCTCAGTGCTGCTCAGCACCGCCAGGCACGGCCAGGCGGGGAGGGTCACGCTTTCTCCCGTTGGGGGCTTCGCAGAGCCGTGTCTTAGCAAATGGCCAAGCAGGCTCTGTTTGCTGTCCCGTGGCTGTGCTGTAACCAGGGGTCTGAAACCTAGACAAGAGGGGATGTGAAGCGCCCCAGATCTCTGGCGGAGGATTTCAGAAGGCTGTAGGAAGAGCTGGAGGAACACGGGAGGGCGACTTAATCATTTTAGGGTTGACCCCGACTCTTTCTCCCATTAACCTGAGGGTTATAGATTGGTTCTGGGCAACAGCTCTGGGTCTTTCTGTCTCTGCCATTGGCACCGAAGTTCACGAGAGCCAGCAAGTCCCATCCTTTCCCACCCAGCCCAGCGAGGGACCTGCGGAGTTGCTTTGGAAGTGGGGGATGGGTCCCGCAGAATGGGCATGACTCTCCCACGACCCAGGTTCGGGCCCTTTGAAAACGAAAGTGGGCAGGTGGACGTCAGAAAGGCCAGAGAGCGGTTCTGCAGTAAACTTGAAAAAGGAGACTAGGAAATTTGGTGAAATCAACTCTGCAGGAAGGGCCGGGAGGATGTTGTCTGGTTACTTGATGTCCCTCTAGGGAGGGAGGCTGGCAGGGGGACGGGATCCATTCAGAATCAGGAACTGACCCCAGCTCCCAGCTCCCGTAAATAAACAGAGGTGTGGGCACAGGGGAGCCAACACCCGTCGGGCTCCCTGCTTGCAACTGCACGACCGTGGTCCGCATCATGTGTGTACTTCTCTGACCCTGCCTGTGAAATGGCTTTTATCAAGTTCAGTTTTCACACACAGTCTTTTATAGAAAAAAATGGCTGGATCAGTGCCAGAAATCCACCTTCCCCAACGCAGGACCTTCTTCCAAGCGTTATTACCTGGAAGATCAAGGGTGAAGAGAAATGGAGAGTGTATTGAAATGGCCACAAAGAATTAAGGGTGAAATATATCCTTATCACAAGCGCTCTGATCGGCTCTCCACAAGGGACAAAGAGCAAAGGGGGTGCTCGCTCACTCAGAGCCGTCCTGCCTCTGCGGTCAGGGTGACGCCGCTGTCCAGGTCCCCGCTGGCCGGGCCTCGTCCCGGCAAGACCAAGCCCGGCGTTTCCCACGTCACATCCCACGGGAGGGGCCGCGTGCCCAAAGCATGGGATCAGCTGCCGATAAGGTGGCATCGGACCAGAATTTCATGAAGGAAAACAAGCGTCCGCTTATCTTCCATGTGTTTATGAACATGTTGGTCATTGTTCATATAAACATCTCGCACTCTTGGCTAAAATTCAGACTTGGTGTTGTGTAGGTCCTGACTTATTTTCAAGGGAGGATGGACATGGTCATACACCCTGAGTAGGATTTTATGAAACAAAAAAAAAAGTATCAAAAATATTTTTCTATTCGTAGTTTGGTGTTAAATTTTTCCAGTCACATGTCATGAGTAATCCTTTTTGTTTTGTTTAAAATAGTAGCAAACTAACCTACTGACACGTGCTGTAATTCTGCTGGCGTTCCTCTGTCTCGGGTGAGACCACCCCGTCTGGAACTCTTTCCACGCACTAATCTGTTTGTACTGACACACTCGGGCAGTGTTTCTGAGATTGGTGTGTGCAGGAACACGGTTTTCTAAAGCAGAGCGACAGAATTGGGCTAGAACAGGCTTCTGGAATGTCCGTGTGCACGGTACCCGGGATCTTATGAAAACGCAGGTTCTGAAATAGCGGAGCGGGAGCGAGGTTCTGAATTTCTAACAGGCTCCCTGCACGTGGCCAGTGTGGCTGGCCTGCGGACCGTACTTGGAGAAGCCAGGGCCTCGAACGTATTTCTCTGTGGTCTTGCTTTCTCATTGGTAAGCAGAAGCCCCCGGGATTCCCAGCCCCCAGCCGCCTGGGGCATAGACAGGGCAAACGTGTTGAGTCCCTGCCCCTGCCCGGGGCTGGATGCTCCTCTGATTGCCTCACTCGCAGACTTTTCGCTCTGAGACAGTTCTCAAACGGAAACTCAGGCTGATCAGGTTTTAGACAAAATGCAGCTGGATGAAAATGCATATGCAGAGTGCTCCCAGAAACTGAAGTTTTCTTGGAAATTGATAGCGGCTGCCGATTTGTTCCCACGGGCCACCCCAACACCAGAAAAGTGAGACTTTGAGGAGCTGGGTGGGAAAGGCTGGCTGGCGGTCCAGAAATGTGAAAATGCCAGCCGACGGGAGTGGAGCAACAGCACAGTGTAAAGCGAAAAATCATCCAGCCCAACCAAAGCCCCGAGGGTAGGATTTCACCGACCACACCACTGGCGAAGCTCGTCGCCAGACAGACCGAGTAAATTACGGCAGTTCTGTGTTGAGTTTCACTGCTGCTCTCTTTTGGATACGAAAATAGGAAAAGACACATCTTCTGCAACATAGTCCAGCTTTTTGAAGACCGACCCACCAAATTGCCCATTTTAAATAAGGTTAAATGATCTGTTTAAAGAGAGGCTTAAAACAAATTGCATTGCGCTGCCCTCCGCGGGGGATGGCGTAGCCCTGTCCAGGTGTCTGGCAGCAGACGACGTGCTGAAGTGTCTGGCTGTGGCTTCTCAGTTGGCCCGGAATGACACACCACATTGAACTGAGACCCATCAGTCCGAGAAGACGTAGTTTTGAAATGGTCCTGCAGTAAGATAGCAGGTAGAAGCAGCTTTATGCACAGACTGTTCGCGCGTGCATGCCAGTGTTTCTGGAATATATTTTCGAAAGAAACTTAACAACGACGTAGAGTCTTCATAGCCATTAATAGAACTTGCACCGAGGATGCAAAAGTGGCTATTAAAGTTGCATATGCGCAGTGCATAAAGATTTATGGGACACATAATGACACATGATAAATAAAAGAAATTATTGGCCTCTACTTAAGCTCTTAGGGTCATTGTTGGCATGTTGTGGGGACACTGCTATTCCAGTCTTGCTATTTATTTCATACAATTTACTTGAGAGAAACTCTAAATTCATTTAGAGAAGGAGAGAGAATTAGACATTTGCACAGAACGGTAAGTGGATCGTTAATACTGACTTAACACCAGTGGGTGAGACTATAAAGAGAAAACGAGGGGTGGCCAAGGGAGGCAGCTGGAAAATACGCTAAGAAGGCAGTGCTCATCTTGGAGGAAGAAAAAAGAGAAAGAAACATTTGGTTACATTTGGTTTCAATCCTTTGTGGGTTGAGGTGCAGGCCTCCAGCAAGCGTTGGTTGATTCATCAGCCTTGTGGGCTCTGGTTTGGATGGGTCATGAAGATAAAAAAAAAAAAAGGGAGTGCGTATAGGAGTATAGGTTAAGTCCCACTAGGATTCGGGACAGATTAGATTGGAAGAAACTTTCGATATGGCCATGACCTATTGTTGCAGAAGATTACCTTGGAAGTGTCAGGAAGCTCTGAGGGAATCTGTCACCGGAGTTTTCAGATCAATGGGTGGAAATATTAGATCAATAAAATATACAAAGTTATAATTTGTAAATAAAACCCAAATCTAGTGGAATCCAGGTTGATGATTTCTTTGGATTACTGGTTTTTCTTGCACCGTATTTATTCAAACGCAAAACAAAAAACATGTAAAATCTCTATTATAAAATGACATTATTGATCTTTTAGTCAATTTATTTGTCTTTACAGATTTACCTTATGAACCACCCAGGAGATCAGCCTGGACTGGTCATGGCCACCCCACCCCCCAGTCGAAAGGTACAGTGTTGGCTTCTGCTGCCTTAACTCTGCCACAAGACAGTGGGCACACTCGATGGAGTAAAGAATAATTTCTGTGGCTCAGCTATGCTTTTTCAGCCTGGGAAGTGTTTGTCCCGTTGGCAACAAAAGCACAGCTAGTCTTTAAATGCAATGATCTGTTGTCTATTGGGCTTATACCTACTTCCCTAATAAAAAGAAATGATCGATGTCATGCATTTCAACACGCACTCACGCGGGTCTCATGGGGTGTTTGAGTGCAGATTAAACACTGAGTGATTGACTAAGCCTGGCCATGCTGAAAGCATCCCTTGCTTTATTCCATTTTCCTGGTCATTTCCCTTTTATTTATTTTAGACTTTGATTTATTTTCATCTCTTTTGTAAGCCATCTCAAATTCTTTTCTTTTTTCACTTTTGGAAAACGTGGGGTACAAATGCATTTTAAAAATAATATATACTTTTTTTTTTTTTTGCTACAAGGTTTACATTTGGTTTCATGAGAAAGGAACCATTTTCCTTCCCATAAGATGTTTCTTATTATAAAGTAAGGCCATTATGTTACTAAGAGAGTAGCGGCCAAGTGTAAGTGATAGCTAATTGTCTCTCTTATTTTTACATTTTCAGCTGCTCAACCATCCCCTTCCACGGTGCCCAAAACGGAGGACCAGCGGCCTCAGTTAGGTATGTTTCAGGGAGCGTCACAGTGGCCATTCGAGGAGAAACAGGTTCTGTAGGGTATTTCTAAAATGTGTCCTTTTCTAAATGAAACTCATGTGACTTCGTCTCCTTTACAATCTCTTCATCTATAAAACAGGGACGAAATTATCAGTCTCCTCAATTAGGATGACTGGAGAGTTTGTTAAAACATCTTCAAAATCTATACAATCAGTGTGGAAGGAAACACTCCATGTCACACAGGCGGCGTTTCGTGACCCACAAAGTCTTGTAATTGCACCTCCAGCCCAGGTGGAGCAGCACCAACCCCACTGCCAGGTCCAACACGGCTGCGCCGTGGGAGGCTGATCTCAGTGGCGTTGTCCGCGCGGCCGATGCGGTGCCAGGCTGACTGGGGACTTCACACACGTTTGCCCTATTCATGTCCTGGGGTGGAGAGAGCACAGGGCTGGTTGCTGGGAGTCCCAGGCCAGACCTGAGCTCAGCCGAACGAGGAAGCCCTTAGCAAGAGACTTCTCCCAGAGCCCATGTGGCATCTTCTCTCGCCAGGAAGTGGTGCCAGGTGACCGTGGTGCGGGGGACATTTTCAGCTCCAAAGCCTGGGAACACGGGGTCAGCACAGCACCCGCGGTTCCGTCACACTGACTCGGGACTGTCTTCGGGATTTGACTTCTGTTCTTTCCCCTGCAGATCCTTACCAGATTCTTGGGCCGACGAGTAGCCGCCTTGCAAACCCAGGTGAGATACGCCCGACGCTACTGCTCTTGCCGAGTTCCCTTTGTGGCAGTGGCTGTTTTGAAAGAGACATTTGCAGCGATGACAGATCCCTTCAATTGAAGGTTTAGGTCTCACTGGATTATTTGCCCAAGTGGAAATAAAACGGGTCGGGTTATAAATGAAGATTTCAGCTTCCACAAAGAGCATCATTGCCCAGTCCAAGCTGCCTGCGTTTCCCAGGGCTGCTAGACCAGAGGACCACAGCTGGGGGCGGAGGCCTAGACAGCAGGTGCTTGTTGTCTCTCAGTTCTGGAGGATGAAGGGCAAGATCGAGGTGTCAGCAGGGCTGGTTTCTGCTGGGGGCCGTGGAGGAAGGACCTCTGTCCTTGGCTTGTAGACAGCCACCTCCTGCCTGTGTCTCTTCACCTGTCTTCCCTCTGTAGGCGTCTCTGTATCCGGAGTCACCTTTTCCTAACAGCACTATCATATCGGGTTAGAGTCACCCTAATAGCCTCACTTTAACTTGATTACCTCTGTAAGGACCCCCATGTCCAAACAAGGTCACATTCTGAGGTTCTGGGGAGTTGGGACTCCAACCTGTGAATTGGGGGAGGGGAGGCACAATGCAGCCTGTTACACAAGCAGTGAAATGATGTTTCAACAAGGAGAGTGCTGATGACAACCGTAAGTTTGCAAATTTAGGATGATCTTCGATGAATAGTCTGTTTCTCAGCTCAGATGTTGGAAGAAAGTCCGGATCCTTAAGCAGCCCATTTGTGACCTGTCCCTTGCCAGGTCGTCACGTTTCGGTGCCGACCGAGTTGCTTGTTTGCCCTCAGACGGGAGCAGCTGTGCAGCCGACGCCCCGCACACGCTGCGTGTCCCCGCCGGGACGGCACAGACGCCCTGCAAGCACACACTGCGATGTATATTTCCTAAGCGTGGAGGTCAAAATAGGGTTGGAGATGGAAAAGTCCAGATCCAATCAGCACACATCCCCACCAAGGAATCTATACTTTGAGAACATGAAATATCATTACGGCGTGTCCACCATCGTTGGCATCCTAATTAATATTAACTAATTCAGCAAATACTCTGTAAGCATCTGACCAGTTAGAAGGGACTGTTGTGTTTACTGCTCCTCCCCGGGGCCGACACCAGGTGCTCAGTAATTACTTGCTGGATAATAGATGCAGGAGCAGTAAGACATCGCCCCGACCCCCCCCCTCCCCCGAGCTTGCTTTCCAACGGAGAGGTGGACACGGTCATTACAACACTGTCCCAACCATGGAGGCCACAGCTCTTCCCTCCTCTGTGAACATCTACCTGGTGGCCATGTCTCCTGGGTCCCGGTCCCTCCTCCGGCCTGTGGTCAGCTTTTCGTTCGCAGTGGCCTCCGTAGCATTGAAACCGAGTGGTCCCTGTGTTTTGAGATGATTGTGATCAGTCATGATTTGGGACTGACCTGGCCGCAGTGTTCAGGGGAGACTGGAAAGAGGAAAAGAGGGAAGCGGATCATTCTGGGAATGTCGATATAGGATGTGAGAAAGCATTCCGATGGCCCCGCCCCCATTCCGATGGCCCCGCCCTCATCCTGATGGCCCCGCCCCCACTCAGATTCCCCACCCCCCACCCCCCCAGTGCCTGGGCAAGCGCTGTGGTCCTGCCTCCTGGCAGCCCTGGGAGGTCAGTGTCTCCTACAGAAGAGGACTCGGAGGCCCTGAGACATCGGGGTAACTTCCTGGGTCACACAGCCAGTAAGAGGGAGGCCCGATCTGAACCCAGACTGTCTGCAAAGCCTGAGTAGACACGGGAAAGAGGCCTTGGAGAGTGGGTCCGAGAGACGGGGAGGAAGGAAGGCCTGCCATGCAGCTGAACATCTGTTCAGGTGCACAGGATGGGTCTGAGGTCAGGGATGAGGGGAGGAAGGAGGCAGGGGTGCCAAGCGAGACCGAACCGGCCTTTCCACCCACGCGGGTTGGCTAAATGAACAGTATGTCCACGCCCATGTTGTCACAGCTCAAAGGTGTAGCTTGGGGGACAGTGGGGCCACAGAGAGTGACTGGTCCCCGAGGAGAGCATCAGCTCCCAGGGGCACCTGGGCCCAGCAGCTGGGGATGCCCACTGGAGGTGGGACCCGGGCAGAGCCAGGAGGGGGCTGCAAACCATCCCAGACCTGGCAACGTGCCTTTGTCCCTGACAGGTCAGTGACACTGTCATGAGCGGAGGACTGCCCTCCCACCCCTGAGACTTCTCAGCGGGCCTGGGGAAGGTGGCAGCACCCCACGGATCCGAATGTAGAGGCTTCTTCGGGGTAGTTTGTGGGCCTTCTCAGCTGCATCCACCTGGCCCTTCCCCGACACCAGAATGTCGGCTCTTTCTGGGAGCGCTCCCTCCTGCTGTCCCGCTGTCCCGCTGTCCGGAGTCAGTCCCTCATCTCTTCCGGCGCTGCCCGGCTCCTTACACGTGCACCTTCTTCTCGGGCGTCTTAAAGGGAGGGGACCTCGCGCAGCGTGCACACAGGGGGTCCCGGCACCTCGGCGTCTCCGTCTCCTTTCTCTGGTGTGCAGTTTGGCGGTATTCCTCCTGCTGAGGAGACTGTCCCGTGCTTTGAGGTCCTGGACCAGGAGCTCCGTGTCCCAGCAGGCGGGCATATTCCCCGTGGCCCCGACGGAGCGGCATCCACCTCCACTGCAAGAGCCCCGCGGGGTTCTGCTCGGCCGCTGCCCTGATGATGCATCCTGCTCCGTGTCAAACCAGGCACCGGTTTTAGGGCTGTTTTTCTGTGCGTTGGGAGGTTCAGGAGCGTCCAGTCTTCCACTGGGTACTTTCCAAGCTCCAGGCCCAGGGAGCGGACAACCCGGAAAGGACAGAATCCGGGCCTGAAAGCGAGTTTGTGCGTCGATCTGGGTCGGGGCCCGGGGCAGGGTTCTGACCCTTGCCGACCGCTCTGGGTTCTAATGTCCTCATCTCTCCAGGGGGCGAGCACATGATTCTCGGGGGTTACTACAGAAACGCGTGGACACGTGCAGAATGGTGCCTGGCACACGGCAAGCTCGCGGTGGCCACCCCAGCTGTCCCCTCCTTTAAACTCGGGTTTCAGCCTGAACCAATCATGATAAGAGCGTTCACCTACCGAGTCCCCCTCATAGTGCCTCTGAAGACAGTGCTCTTACTGTCACCCCGTTGTGCAGATGACACCCAGGCACAGCGAGTGGGTGAGCTGCCCGAGGGGACGTACGTGGCAGAGCCAGGATTCAGCCAGGCAGTGCTGGCCCCAGAGTGGCCCTTGCCCCCCCGTCACCCTGTCCCTCCAACAGGTCCTTTCGCAGTCACACTCAGCCCAGGTCTAGCCTCCCTGGGACACGCCTGCTGCCTTGACTGTTTCTCCGTGGCACCCCAGACAGCTGCCACCGTGGTGCTTGCTGGGTGCCTCTGCAGCTGTCCCCACCGTGTCTGCTCAGGGACAGTCCTGTTCTTCCCACACTGCTGACTCACTCCCTGCTCTGTGGTTTATAAACCGTTCAGGCGTTTTGCCCTTTTTCGCTTGGTCTGCGCCTCTTCGCTACCATGTCTTCCTCCCTCTGAAAAAGGAAAGGGTCGCCCTCCGTCTCCTCTGAGCCCGGTGCCCTCATCCCTCCGGGCTCTCCTGCAAGTGGGCAGCCCCCATCGCTGTGCCCCGCCACCCGGGCCTGTCCCGGACAAAACAGGCCGAAACCAACTACTTGGTGGTGTGAAGATGTCATCAAGATAGAGGAGGAGATAGGTGTGACAGGTTTCTGATCTGGGAGGTGCAGGTGGCGATGCTAGTCGGGGTGCAGGATTGTGTCTCATGAAGCTGCTGCTTTGACTTGTGGGTTTGCCCAGTGAGTGACCAAGTCTTGGAACGCCTACCCAGTATTCTAAAATGCACTTTTATTGCAAGCAAATGTTATTGCTTTGACAGTAGAAGAAGAATTGAATAGATCGCTTTGGAAATTCTGTGGTCATGAGTCACTCCTTTAATTTACCGTTGACTGTGATTTCTCAGCAACACGGTGCGTCCCGGAGAATTCTTGCGCAGTGAGAAAGTGTGCCTCGCACAATGGATGCGGTGGATTTTGTGATGAATGTTAGATTTAACGATTAATGAACTGGATATAATGTTTCATTTTATAAACATTCCTTGAGCCTGGCCAAGTGTGGCTCAGTGGTTGAGCATTGACCCATGCATCAAGAGGTCACCAGTTCGATTCCTGGTCAGGGCACATGCCCAATCCCCAGTGAGGGGCATGCAGGAGGCAGCCAGTCGATGTTCTCTCTCTTCGATGTTTCTATCTCTCTCTCCCTCTCCCTTCCTTTCTCTCTAAAATCAATAAAGGAAGAAACAAAAACAAAAAAAAACATTCATTGATTTTGCATTTACAGTGGTGTTCTCAGGTTTGGGAGGTGATGGATTTTGTTTATAGAGCTCTTACTTCCAGAGACCCTGGAAATGCTCAAAGGCCCAAGCTCTGTGCCCTAAAGGCTAATTTAGGATAAACAGTGAGGAATGCTCATCGGGCCCTTGAGCTTTGACTTTCCAGCCAGGGATTTAGGTCCCTGACTTTTTAATGCTTCAGAAGCAGGAGAGATGGGAGGCTACTTTGGTCCATTAGTTTCCTGTTATACATGTTTATACAGGAAGTAGCCGAGGGACAAATTCCTAAGAGGCAATGCCAAAGTTTGAATAGATACAGAGTATTCTTTTGGCTGCTTAGGAAGGTGTGTGTATTTATATAAAATCTGTGGAATTGCTCTCTTCATGGAGGGGAGCTGACAGTGAATATTTGTTTTCAGACCATTCTCTGTTTATATTGAAGCATATGTCAGACCAATAAATCAAAAATTCATGTTTTTCCCTCTTCCTAGGTCACATGTGGGATTTTTTTTTCTTAAGTAGCAATCCTTTGGTTACAATATATACACTAAAACCATATGGTTCTCCCATGCTCTTCTTTGTGTTTTTGAAAATGCATATTAATGAGACGTTGGGGGCAAGAAAATGTGATGGAGCACAGTTTAAATATGTCATCCCGAAAATGCAGAGGCCCCATTGTGATGAGCTACAAGCTGCTAACGCCTTTCGAATGTGTTGCTAGACAGAACGTGGTCACTTTCCAGAAAAGGCCGACTGTCCTCGTGAGCTCTCTGTGGGTGAGTCCCAGACACAGCCATTTCCACGCAGGACCGTGGACAGGCGGGGCTGTGAGCCGGACAGTGTATATAGGGGCTAGTGAGAGGAGTGAGTGAGAAACAGATTCATAATTGATGTTTACGTCCCATCAATTCCTTGAACGGTTGCCAGTTAGATCACGTCTATGGATGCTTCCTGAATGCATAATAAAAGGTAGCCTCTGGGCTCCTAAGCCTGAGGCTGTGGGGTAGCTGGAGTCTAGGAGGAAGGACCTCCCTCTTAAGCATTTTCGAAGCATCTAAAAGCCATTGGAAGCACCTTCGTTTCTCTAGGTGGTCAATATGACTGTCAGTAGTTACATGCTTCGCTCCTTCAGGGAGTCATCAATTATCCTAAAGTGTGTAACATAGTGGCTAGAGTGTTGTGCCTGAGTTGTCTCTGAATTTTATAACACGTGCAAGCTACATCTGTAGGGCTCCCCCGGGGATCAGGAACATTCTGTCGGTGCACCCCCAGTCAAAGGGGTCTCCTCGTCCTCGTTGGAGTCTGTCTCTGCTCCCTCCGCGCCCCACGGGGGTCTGCAGCCACACATCGCTGCCTTTTTTCTCTTGGAAAGTCTTCTGAACACAGTTGGCATTGTAAGCGGCACGGGGGACCCCCCCCCCCACATGGATTTCCGTTACAATGCATTTGCCTAAATACTGGAAATGGGTGATCTGGTTTGAAAAAGAGCCAGCTTTTTTTTTTTTTTTTCTCTAAACTTCCTCATTTAGAGTGGGTTAATTCTGTTCTAGGAAAAGTTTTGACAGAACTTCTCTCCGAGTGCCAGCAAAATGTTATGTTAGAAATAACGGTGTTTACTTCTATTCTCTGCTTTTTTCCATAAACTTTTTAGAAGTTCATTTCCTAAATCTGACTTTTATTATTTTACTTGACCTAGCCAATATAAATGGTATTAAGTCATCATTGCCATCCACACAACGGCACAGTCTGCCTCACAAAATAGGAAAAATAAGCCTTTCCACCTTCCACCCCCCAAAACACGCAGTGGTCCTGGCTGATCTTCTCAGGAGGTCAGAAACGGTGGACCGCCCTGCCCCGAGGGCGTCCTCCGCTTCTGTAAAGGACTCGGACCTGTGAGCAGCGTGTGGTCACCCAGGACCGTCGGCTTAGGTCAGGCTTCCCGGACAGAGGGTCGGGATAAGGACTCCAGGGCGTGGGATCAACACAGCGTATGTTTTCGGGAGGGAGAGCGGGAGCTGAGGCTGCGGGGGGCCTTCGAGGGACCCCTGCTTCAGTCTGATCACAGGGGACTCTGCCGCGTGAACAGCGTCACAGGCTCGGCCCCTCCCTGAGGCAAGGGGACCCATCTCCCCTTGGTGGCGTTGGTCTGTCCTGTGGCCTCGGGCTGCTGGGCCTGGGTGAGGCTGCTCCTGTCCAGCCACGAGCAGTTGTTTGCAGAACAGGGGAGGCCCCAGCATCTGAGGGGCAGGTGTGCAGGCCCGCAGAGGGACCTGGGTGCACTGATAGCACCTGCTCTGGTCACGGAAGAGGGACCGCCTGTGTTCGGAACCTGCCCCACTGACCGGTGTCTCCTGTCCCCCCTCTAGGGAGCGGGCAGATCCAGCTCTGGCAGTTCCTCCTGGAGCTTCTGTCCGACAGCTCCAACTCCAACTGCATCACCTGGGAAGGCACCAACGGGGAGTTCAAGATGACGGACCCCGACGAGGTGGCCCGGCGCTGGGGGGAACGCAAGAGCAAGCCCAACATGAACTACGATAAGCTCAGCCGCGCCCTCCGCTACTACTACGACAAGAACATCATGACCAAGGTCCACGGCAAGCGCTACGCCTACAAGTTCGACTTCCACGGGATCGCCCAGGCCCTCCAGCCCCACCCTCCGGAGTCGTCTCTCTACAAGTACCCCTCGGACCTGCCTTACATGGGCTCCTATCACGCCCACCCGCAGAAGATGAACTTTGTGGCCCCCCACCCCCCGGCCCTCCCCGTGACGTCGTCCAGTTTTTTTGCCGCCCCGAACCCGTACTGGAATTCACCCACCGGAGGCATCTACCCCAACACGAGGCTCCCAGCCAGCCACATGCCTTCGCACCTGGGCACCTACTACTAGAGACGCGAGCGAGGCCTTTCCCGACAGCACTCGAGCGCCAACACGTTGCCACGAGCTCTATTGAGAACAGGAACCAAAGTGCCTGGAGGAAGCAGGGAGCTTGGCGGGGGCGGGGAAAGGAGCCCGGGGCGCCATCCAAAGACTCTTAGCGGGAGGGACTTACCAAAGTATTATCCGGAGACCGAGAGGATGCTGAACATGTAACGTATACGGACATATAATCTGTGGACCCACCTTGTAAAAGACATTGTACGTAGAAGCATGACGTCGTAGGACAGAGTGCCCAGGAGAGCCGTCCCGAGACGTGCACCCACGTGAGCGTCGAGTTCCGATCCCGCTGACGCCAGCCAGATCGAACCGAGACAGCACAGATTGCACGGTCTGGACCGAACGGGCCGTTCCGAATGCCATTTTAAGGAAAACTACCTGTATTTAAAAATAGAAACATATCAAACACACACACACACACACACACACAAAAAAAAAAATACCAAAGAGAGAGAGACAGCAACAGATGCCGATCCGGAGCTCATCGGCGTGTGCTGTTTCGGGTGAAATCGGATTCGTTCCATCTGCTGGAGGGCGGTCCGCTCTCTCAAACTGTGAAGACGACCCAGTGTTTCCAACTCCGAGACAGTAACTGGGAGCCGGGAGGCGGACGGCGGGACTGAGCACGTGCGGAGAGCTTGCGGTTGTAGATAGAGGGCTGGAGGAGGTGCGAGCGAGGGGCCGAGCTGGAGGAGGCAGGGCTGGGGAAGAGCGTCTCAGGCAGCGCAGGCTGGACTGAGGACGGTGGTGGGGCTGCGGAGCAGGCATCGCGGAGACTTGAGGCTGAATGCGGTCAGGGTTTGACCAAACCCAGTGTTCGCGCGAGGACGGGGCGGAACGGAGGAAGGGGACGCGGGAGAACTCAGACACAAAAACATGCATCTCTTTTTTTGTTTGTTCGTTTGTTCGACAAAAGAAAATCGTAACTGGAATCGTCTGATATTTAAAAGAATCGTTCAGGACGGCCTGGTTTTGTGGGGGCTCTGCTCTCCACGGGGTCAGGTAAGAGACGGTCTTCTCGGCCTCCGCACTCCGACATCACCTGGGCGCTGGGCCAGGCGGGCCCCAGTGTTCCTTTCGAGTCGCGAACGCTGTGCGTTTGTCAGAATGAAGTATACAAGTCAATGCGTTTTTTTTTTCCCCCTCCTTTTTATATAATAATTATATAACTTATGCATTTATACACTACGAGTTGATCTCGGCCAGCCAAAGATACATGACGAAAGAGACAATCAATGATATAATGTGGCCTTGAAACTTAACTCTGTATGCTTAATGTTTACAATATGAAGTTATTAGTTCTTAGAATGCAGAATGTATGTAATAAAATAAGCTTGGCCTAGCATGGCAAATCGGATTTACCCAGGGGTCTGCGTTGGCACTCTTTTAGTGACTCACGTTGCCTGAGAGAAGTCTGCGCCGCATGTTGTGGATTTTGTGTTACAATTTCATCATGTCCAGGCACTTGGGGAAGTGAGAGCCAAGCAAACAGGATGCTTGGCACCCAAACAGCATTGGCTCTCTGGGTCCTTCTTGCGCATGCTTTTATTCCTAGTCCCTTCTGGGGCAGAAGGATCAGAGGTTTCCCGCTGGGGCCTCCTCATTTATGCCCGGAGTGGAAAGAGGCCTCTGACACTGAGGTTGTCCTTGAGACACCCCAGATGAGCCCCGGGACACAAGTCACCCTCACTTCATTCTGGGATCACAGAACATCTGTTGGATGATGACCAAACTATGGGTCTTAGAGCAAGCTGTATCATGTTGCTAAATAAAGCGTTGTGGGTAGCTGCGGTCCCTCACTTTAAAGGAACGAGGGACAGCTTCTAAATGTTCTACTGGCCTTCTGTCTCCGAGGGTCTCGCCGGGTAGCCTGCAGCCTTGACCTTCCCGCCCCAGGATCATCGGGGTGCCGTGGTGTGGGGTTCGCCAGCCCCGGGCCTGGCGTGTGACCAGACACAGTGTATTTCTCTGACCTGAAGGCAGGTTCCCTTAACACCTTTCCTCTTCTGTGTGTCACAAACGCTGCCGACCTTGGCCAAGGTGACGGCCACTTGAGAGGCAGAACATGAAGCAGCGCGGGAGGGAGCGAACCGGCCCCACGTCTCAGCCCGAGTCTGTTTCTGAGTCGGCCCAATCCATAGCTGGTCTGGGCCTTGCTTTGCTCTGCGTAACACTTGTGCTATGAATAAATTAAGTTGCCAGACCTCGGCGCTATGGGTAGGTTAGCAGTGATCTTGAAAGCCTGTGGGATTTGATTCCCACTGCGTTCCTTGGATTAAAAGAAGTCCCACCATCAATCATTTTCCAGCAGCCTGGGAAAAGCTCCCCCAAAGTGATTCTGTCCCTGGGGGGCAGGAAATAAAAGCATAAAAGCTGGCAGCCGGGGTGAGCCCACTGCTCTAGCGGAAAAGGTCAGTCATTCATTTGGGGATGCGGAGTCAAGGCACCCCTACCTTCTGCACAGAAATACAAATGGACTCGGAGAACCACTCAGTTCCGCTCTTTCAAGATTGTGTCATGAGCAAAATAATAGAAACAAGACACGATGATTGTGTTCAGCTCTGCCAGATGTTTTCAGTTAGATTCCCCTACACCCCCACGATTAGCAAGCTTTCTGACACGCATGGTAATTTTGGATGAGATGATAATGCTGAGTCTCCCCAAATAAATCATCCTTAAATTATGTCACAGAAGAATGCAGACCCTCTGCTCCTGTCATAATCTACTTTCAAAGCACTCTCCAAATCATCCTTCTGATTCCACAAGCAACCTTCCCCCTCCCTGCCCCTCCCGAGCCTTCGCTCCCCGAGGTGTGCACGGCCCCCCACAGTCTCATTCTGCTGGCAGGTGTGTCCTTCCTTCTCCTCGGTCTTCGGGGTACACCCAGGAACCCTGCATACTCCAAGGCCAGCAGAACGTTATTCTGGCTCCCAGGCTGATGCCCTGGCCACGTCTCCGGGGGTTCAGGGTGAGGTCAGAGGTCAGGCTGATGCAGTTGGAGAACGCGCTGTTCCCCCGAAGCGGCTCCCCACACTGACCCCTGGGGACAGGGGCCCGGAGCGCTCGCCTCGGGTGACCGGTGCAGGACAGACAGCCGATGGTCTGGAGCTGGGAAGGTGACGGCGAAGAGGGGAAACATGGACGTCCCGTGGCCCCAAGTGGACCTTTGACTGTGGAAACAGCAATGTAGTTTTTTAAAAACTTGGTTTAACTAGTCTCTCGTCACTCCCTCCAAAACAAGTTCTCCGGTGACTAATTAGATAATTAAAAACACTTAGGACTACTCAGAGGTACATTGGGTTCTGTTCCTTCTCTTAACCTTGTTTCAGAAGTCAAATAGTAGAGATAACTAGGACCTCTTTATCTAGCATGAGCAGAGGTTCTCAAAGTGAGGTCCCCGGGCCAGCAGCATTGGCCCCCCCTGGGGACTGGGCAGACTGGCATGTTCTCAGACCCTGCCCCAGACCTCCCGACGCAGAAACCCAGCCGTCCGTGCCAACCCAGCCGTCCGTGCCAACAAGCCTCATAGGAGATCCTGATGCCGGATGAAGTCTGAGAACCACTGCGATGGAAGAAAAGCTGATCCGTGTCCAGGTGCGGAACATTTAGGGTGAAATCTCAATCCCACGAAGTTTGCTCTATGGCCACACGGAAGCTGACCATGAGGTTAAATCAAGCCGATTTATTCTGGGGGTGTCATCCTGGGTCCTCGGAGCAGCTCTGGTCCCGCCTGTGAACTGGTCCTGCGTGTATCAGTTACCCACTGCGGAAAAACCAGTGAGCACCCCCTCAGCACGGAACAGCACACATCTGTTACCTCCGTCTCCGTGGGTCCTCTGCTCATTCGCGCCAGGCTGAACTGCAGGCGTCAGCCAGGACTGTGATCTCATCCGAAGCTGGGATCCTCTTCTGAGCTCACTGGTGGTCGGCAGACGCCAGCTCCTTGTGATTGTAGGACTGAGGTTTCATGTCCTTACTGGCTATCAGCTAGGGGCCGCTCTCAAGTCTCGGAGGCCACCTGGTGTCCTGGCCACATGGCCTCTTCCTTCAAGGCCACCAGGAGTCTCTCCCACTTTGCATCTCTCTGACTTCTTTTAAGGCCCACCAGGATAACTTCCTTTTTTAAAAAATTAACTCAAAGTCAACTTATTAGGGTCTTAATTACATCTGAAAAATTCCTTTAACCATAGACTCTAACCTAATCATGGGACTTAGGGTCCCTCACACTCCAGAAGATTATGCAGGGCATGTACCCCAGGAAATGGGAGTCTGGGGGGGCGGGTTAGAATTCTGCTTACACGCCGTGGTGAGACTGTCTTCTGTCATTGCCTGAGCTCTGTGTACCTGGAGCCCATGCTTCAGCTTCCTCATTGGCAGTGTGGTCCTCTGAGCAGTCTGATGATCTTTGTCAGCCAGTTTGCAAAGCTTTACGTTGAAAATGCAAGGGCTAATGGCAGCTCTTCGAGAGTACTCAATCTCCTTTTGATTTGATTTCAAAGCCAGCCCAGGTTAGTTCTAGAGAGAGAGAGCTATGTAGACTCTTCTAACTTATAATTTTGAATTTAAACTAACTTTATAAAGAAAAATAGCTTCATGCATTTTCTCATAAACATTTTTTACAAAATATTATCCTGGCAAGGCAAGACAATATCATTTGATTATGATTTGGGCCAGTGTACTCTGAATTATAGACTTATGCAAGCATGTTAAATGTAATAACTTTATAAAAAGAAATAGTCCATTTTTCATGACTCATGGACACACAACATGCTGTCTTAAAGAAAATAAGACATAATCGTAGCCAGAAGTCATTTTGAGAGGACTTCATCAAACAGTTGTGAGATTTTACAAGGTCATGACTGGCTGAGTGGACGTGGCCAAATTAAAAATCAACACTTATTTGGGGGGGGGGTTGGCTGAGACAGATTCAAGGTCTGCCCTTGACCTTGCTCATTCAGCCCTTGCTGAGTGCGGGCACCGATGGTTCACTGGAGGGAGCTCCAGGTGCTGCAGGCGAGAGGACAGTAGGTTGCAGAGCCGGCCGAAGGGATGGGCCAAGTTTAACAAATGGAGCGTTAATGATGTCAGGATCTGCCTTGAGTTCAGAACACCTGGGAGCTGAGCTGAGCAGAAGCACAAGTGAGAAGCGCACCAGGGTTTGGAGGTGACTGCGGTACATGTAGAATACTCAGTTTCATGAGCTAAGGGCCCGGCACTGGTAACACTTCAAATGCATTGTCTCACCACTCCTTCCAATCATCTTCATGACACAAATGAAAAGTAAATCCTGGCGCTCAGATTATACAATTTTCTTAGCTCACTCAAGGTGTAAGAGGGTGAACGAATCCTTGTCCCAGTACTGACCCTCAAATTTCAACTCTTAAACTATTTGCCTCATATTGACAA